TTTTCTCTCAGAAGGACCAGTGAGTCATGTGTGTGTGTGTGTGTGTGTGTGTGTGTGTGTGTGTGTATATATATATATATAAAATAAAACAAAACAAAATTCTCTGGCAAGCAAATGCCAAAAGAATATGTTTCTGCTAGACCTACCCCATAAGAAGTCCTTAAGGGAGTGCTACACTTACATTGAAAAGGTATTACACTTTCTACCACAAAAGCACACTTACACACACATATATATAAACCTACATATATGTGTGTGTGTGTATATATATATATATATGTATATATATATATATATATATATATATATATATAAATGTAGGTTTCTCAGAGGTTTCATTCATTTTTATTTTTTTTTCTTTATTTTTGTATGACCCGTTGATTTGAAGAACCAGTCTTCAGAAGAAGCAGGTCACCTACACAGTGAGTCCCACCATGCTAGCAGTAGACCTCTCAGAAGGAAGTAAGCCAGAAGAGACTTGGAATCTGTTTTCAGTGTCCTTAAAGAAAATAAATTCCAACCAAGAATTGTGTGTCCTGTTAAACTAATTTGTTGGTGTAAAATTCTTTGAATTGATCTCAGTTGAAAGTAGTTGTGTTTTAAAACAATTCTATGTACATATTCTTTCTCAAATTTGGTAAATTTTAGCCATTATTTCTTTAAATAGACTTTCTGTCTCAATCTTTTTCTTTTCTTCTATGAGAGCTCTCATACATAACTGGTCAACTTAACAATGTCTCATAAATCTCTGGCTTTCTTCACTTTGTTATCACATTCTTTATACTCCTGTCTCTTAATGGTTTCAAATGACCAATATTTTCAAATTCATGAATTGTTTTTTCTACTTGATCAAGTTATTTCTAGAACTTCTCTAGCAAAGTTTTCAATTTGGTTATGAGGTTATTTAGCTCCAGAATTTCCATTTGATTCTTTTCTACACTTTTTATGTCTTTGTTGATATTGTTGATACTCTTATTTATGGATTATTTTCCTGATTTTAAAAAATTTGTGTGTGTTCTTTTAGTTAGTGAAGCATCTTTAATTATTTTTGAAATTTTTGATAGGTATTTAATATATTTTGAATTTTGTGACAGGTTATTAACAGATCTTTCTTTAGGGTTGAAAAAAGGTTTATTTGGTTCCTTTAAATGGGTCATGCTTTCTGGTGTCTTCGCATGCTTTGAGTTTTTTTTTTTTTTTTTTTAATTTGAGATTTAAAGAAATACCCACATCTACACATCTCCAAATCTTTATGTACTGGCTTAGCTCAGAGAAAGACCTTGATCAATCACCCCAGCTAAAGATTCTGGGAGCTTTGCAATCCATTCCAAGAGCAGTATCCTCTCTAAGATTTTGAATGTAAATCCAAAGTTAAACAGTGTTTTTTTGTTTGTTTCAGGATTTTGTAATATTTTGCTCTCCCTTTTGTCATTCTGTAGTAACAATGTAGTTTTTCTGCTACTGCCTCAAACTGTCACACTGCCTTTATTCCCAGGCATTCAAACACTGGGGTTTGTATAAGTGATTTAAGATTGGTTCTCTTTGTGACCATTCCATTTGACCCAGCGATCCCATTACTGGATATATATCCAAAGGATTATAAATCGTTCTACTGTAAGGACATGTGCACATGAATGTTCATTGCAGCACTGTTTACAATAGCAAAGACCTGGAACCAACCCAAATGCCCATCAATGATAGACTGGACAGGGAAAATGTGGCACATATACACCAAGAAATACTATGCAGCCATCAAAAATGATGAGTTGATGTCCTTTGTAGGGACATGGATGAACCTGGAAACCATCATTCTCAGCAAACTGACACAAGAGCAGAAAATCAAACACCACATGTTCTCACTCATAGGCAGGTGTTGAACAATGAGAACACATGGACACAAGGATGGGAGCACTACACACTGGGGTCTGTTGGGGGGAAATGGGGGGGACAGTGGGGGGTGGGGAGTTGGGGAGAGATAGCATGAGGAGAAATGCCGGATAGTGGTCATGGGGAAGAAGGCAGAAATCACACTGCCACATGTGTACCTATGCAACAATCTTGCATGTTCTTACATGTACCTCAAAACCTAAAATGTAATTAAAAAAATAAAATAATAATTATATATATATATATATATATATATATATGTATATATATGATTGGTGACAGAAATCAGACACTTGGGAAGTCCCCTAAGGAGCCAAATTTAGAACACATTTTACTATTCTTTCACTCCTGCTGGAAAAGTGATGATTAAGGATTTTTTTTTCCTGATTGTGTGATGCTGTACTGGCTAGGGAAGTGTCTGTACTGGCTAGAGAGTACATGATACAACATTTTTTAGATATTTCAATAAAATTCATCTTGGCTTTGCTCTTTTCTGGTGTGCTGCAATCTTTTCACTGATTTCTGGAATTAGCACCATGGCAATTTGGTCTATATGGTGTTGTTAAATCTCTTTCTGCATGGGAGAAAAGGGACAGGGTTTTCTATTCTGCCACCTTTAAAACACCAATTTTGTGACCACACCATGTGCAAATTTTAAAGACTATGTGATGAAAATATGGCAATTTGCTGTTATTTGTTAGGTCTACAAATGAGACTCTAGGTAATTACTAAAAATTCCTTTGAGATTTTTCTTTATTTGTAATAATTCATATAATTTCAAAAACAAGAGATGATATTACAGGAAAAATTTCTGAAATAAGATGAGATCAAATAGCATTGATTTGGTGACTGTGTAATCATTTATTTGACCGTTGTTCAATACTTAGAATGTGTTATTTAATTTATACACTTTAATATTTGTAACATACACAGATAGGATTATAATTAATTTACGCCTCCTCACATTATGTTCAACCTAAAGTGAACATGGTCCAAAGGCTTGCTAATAGCTTAATGGTCTGAAATTTAGAACATCTGTGCTGGGAGCTTCTTAAAGGAATGAGAGAACAAACTTGGGGAGGCTCCTGGTAGGAAAGTGGTGATTAAGATATAATATATTACGGCTGGGCGCGGTGGCTCAAGCCTGTAATCCCAGCACTTTGGGAGGCCGAGGCGGGTGGATCACGAGGTCGAGAGATCGAGACCATCCTGGTCAACATGGTGAAACCCCGTCTCTACTAAAAATACAAAAAAATTAGCTGGGCATGGTGGCACGTGCCTGTAATCCCAGCTACTCTGGAGGCTGAGGAAGGAGAATTGCCTAAACCCGGGAGGCGGAGGTTGCGGTGAGCCGAGATCGTGCCATTGCACTCCAGCCTGGGTAACAAGAGCGAAACTCCGTCTCAAAAAAAAAAAAAAAAAAAAAAAAGATATAATATATTATGACTGAAAGGCCAGTTGGACTCTGATTGCAACTTATCTCAAAAGGCAATGCCAGATTGAAGAAAGAGAGCCTTACGAGTAGCAGCTTTTGAGAGGCAGGGAGTCCCATTTACAATGAGTGTCCAACCTAGAAAGCCCCAGAGTGTTAGCAGTCTCAACCTCAGAAATCTCACCTATCACAGCATATTAACCAATTGCTGGATTTAATGACAGAGAAAAGATGAGGCTTAAAACAGATATCATCAGCTTTTCATAGATTATAATAATATTGTAAAAGTCAAAATATGTATCAGTGCAAAAACTTAAGAAACTTATAAACTTAGTAAATAATTTCATTTACATATTAATTATACACATACACAAGAAAAGTACTTTTATTTCCTTTTACATAGTCATTTTAAAACTGGAATTAATTTATAAATATACCTTATCAACATGTGTAAGAATTTCAAAATTTTCAGAAAAGTAGTGCCAACTTATTTATTTAATAAATTGAGTCCTTAAATTAAGCTTTAAATAAGCATATCGCTAAGATGATAAGACAGTAAAAAAATAAAAATTTAGGGCCAGGTGCGGTGGTTCAAGCCTGTAATCCCAGCACTTTGGGAGGCTGAGAGTGGATCACGAGGTCAAAAGATCGAGACCATCCTGGTCAACATGGTGAAACCCCGTCTCTACTAAAAATACAAAAAATTAGCTGGGCACAGTGGCGGTGCCTGTAATCCCAGCTACTCAGGAGGCTGAGGCAGGAGAATTGCCTGAACCCAGGAGGCGGAGGTTGCAGTGAGCCGAGATCGCACCATTGCACTCCAGCCTGGGTAACAAGAGCAAAACTCCATCTCAAAAAATAATAATAATAATAATAAAATAAAAAAATAAAAATTTAATGTATTTGTTTAATTAGTGTAAATATGAAACTGTATTTAGTTTAGTGTATATCTTCACATTTCTAAATATTTAATACATAATATTATTTGTTAAGCAGGTATTCTAATATCTTACATTTTTACAGTGTAAACAAGTATTTGATGAATTTGCATTTCTTGAAGACTGAGAACAAAAAGTAGTATATTGCTCTTAGTTTCAGAGCAAGCATCTCTTTATTTTTCTCCAGTATATTATACTTTTGATTTGAGAGAAAAAAATTATGCATATTCATGATTTTTAAAGAGTAGATATTTAAATCTTCTTTATTAAGTGTACTATCAATTAAAATTTTATAAAATCAACAATTAAAACCATGTATTTCTACTGGTTACTTATCTCAACATAATCTGCTCATCTTGAATACCTTATTGACATTTTCTCTGTGTGAGAAAAGATTAGTTCCTTTTATTACTTGAGGGCAATAATGAGAATGGTCTATTTTTCATCAAGTACACACACAAAATTGTGGTTGAATAATGGTAGAAATACAGGCCATGACATCTAGATGAGGTATACAAAAATATAGCAAACTTTTCTGAGTGTAATGCTCTATCATAATTTTTAGCAATTTATTGTCTGAGATCAGTAATGTCGGATATTTACAAGGGCTTATTTAAATAGAAAAAGAAAAATCATTATGTTTCTCATAACAAGCTAATCGCATAGAATACTCACCTGACTTGTGTGGTTTACTGAATTTTGTGAATTTTACATTTTTTACTTCTCTACATTCATATGTTTGTGCACTCACCAGGAATCAGCACATTGGAGGTCACCCTATCACTTAAGGTTATAGAAGTAATGACATCATGAAAACAGTGCTATCAGAAATAGGTATTCATGTCACTGTTTCACAAAGTGAGAGAAGAGAGTAAGGACATCAAGGGAAATTAGAAAAAAAGAATGCAACATATTCACAAGTTAATGATCTGTGGGATTCTAGGCTGTATAGCTAAGATAAAATATAAAAATAGGAAAGTAGCATGTTTTCATTAAATTATTTGTGGCTGGAATTAACAGGATCACCTCATCAGGTCTTTCCAAAATTAGGGCAGATCTATTCCCTCTTTTCTATCTTTCTGATTTTATTAAATTTTGAACAGGAAAACAAACAACATTTTGTGACTAAGAATATAGCAGTTGCCACACAAGCCAGCAGAAACCCAATCACATCTATAGAGTAGTGCTGGCACCAGGTGAGGTTGTGGGCAGCTGGCCGCAGGTGCTTGGCTCCTTTGTGGCGCATGACAAATTCAATCCAGAAGACTGCGCGATCCAGGGGCTTTACAGGTTGTTCATGGTGAATTCTTGATAATCTCATAGCATTCTCTTTATAACTGGAAGGCAAAAACACACATAGAAATTAGAAAGTTGTATTTTTGCTTTTGCAAAAGACAGATAGGTAAATCATAGTCTATGTTATGCAAGCCAAAAATTTTTGAGTAAAAGATTGATTCTTTTTGTGACATGAACTCATTGGTTGCATAGCATTAAACAGATATAGTGAGGAGACTGAAAAAGGGTATATTCTTAACAAAATGGGGAAAAATAAAGATGTGAATAAAAGCTTAGTAAGCCAATTGTTAACTCATACCTAATATTTCCATGAAGAAAAACTGACATTCTATGAACTATAATTTCCAGGACTATTCCAAATACCAAGGTGAGGAATGACTCAATAATATGGGAAAAAAATTCCTTTAAAAGTCTACCAGGTTAATATTTAACATTTTCTGTTATAATGTATAACATAATCAATCTTTAATAATGTATAACATAATCTATGTGTTACATAATCAGTCTTTACAAGCAGTAGTACTTACAAGGAATCATTAATGACTGTTCTCAAAGCCCTGAGTAAATCCTCACTTGTCATAGTTTTGAAGTTTATTTCTACAGCTGCTCCTTTGACCTTCATGTGAGCGATGTTATCAGGCTGATCACCAAATATGGGAATTCCCACCATAGGGACCCCGTGGTAAATAGCTTCATAGATCCCATTTATTCCACCATGAGTGACAAAAGCTTTGGTTTTGGGATGACCTAGTAGGAAAATTGGGTGATAAATGGTGATATATTTTATCATAAAATTTTAAAGTAATTTCAAAACTAAAAATGGGAATTTTGAGATAACTCACTAAAGTATACAGCATTTTCTTTAAAAGGGGAGCACATGGAGCACTGCTCTGAAAAATCATTTCTAGCTTAAGAAAAGGAGGCATTAATTCCTTATGCATTTCCTTTCACTCTTAACACCAGAAAGTATGAATCTATACAATTTTAGTCCATCCTTTAATTATATTTGCTTCAAAAGTGTAAGTAAAATAAAGTTTCATAATTTTAAAATATTTGTTGAATGTGTTAGCTGTTTAACATTTATTCATTTTTTCTTCATCTAGTCCATATTTTCACTTTCTCATAGTCCTACCAAGAAGATCATTCTGGGGTATCCAATCATACAGCTGAGTATTGGTTCCTAATGCAGATGGTGTTTTTCCTTTGTATCTCCATAACACCTGTGGAAGAAACACATGTATTTCACAGATTGAACCACAGGATAATAGCATTCTGAGGAAGTAGGCATAGTTATAAATTATAAACCCACTCTACTTCAGGTGATGGTTGAGAGAGGGATATGTAGAAGTACTGTGTAAATACTGAAAGATACAGTAAGACTTTTTACAAAAGGCATTTTTAAATAATGCGTACCAGTTGCCTATTAATTATTATTACTTTATTATCAATTAAAATATCTGAGAATGAGAACATAAAGGAATAATTAAAAATAAGACAGCACTGGCTAATCAATTTTCATATGAGAATTAAAAATTTTATAAATACATGATCTCTGTGTCATTTTAACTCACAGAACCATTCTAGTTCTACCATCAAATTTACAGTTCCCCACAGATAAAATTTGCTTTAGATATTGTGCATGTTTTGGAAAATCAGTTGTCTTTTCTTCTCTATTTTCTTCCTGGCCTCTTTTTTCTTATATTTAATTGTTTTATTGAAGAAGAATAAGAAATAATTTATGTTCTATTATTCAATGATAAATTTTGTTTGGGGTTGTACCTTTTCTACGTAATTGTTATTTGTGGGACACGTATAAAAATTTCATGCATTTGAAAAGAAAGGATGGCACAGATGTTTCGAACTACTTACTAGATAATTTCAAAATTAAAATTACAAGATTTCACATTCCTAATTACCATATTTGCCTTATTGAGTTTGATTTATTTTAGGTAAATATAAAGGATATCTTTTGAATAGTTCATATATAGCACTACCTAAAGTGTGAAATTCTAGAATTACAGTAATAACAAAGTTAAAGTTGAGTATCATAATTAGATTACTTAAATAAGTTACTATGATATAATTGTAATTGACATTTAACTCCTGACAACTCTAATTATTTAGAAAGACTATGTTAATCTGACCTTTTATTTCTTTGCAAAAGTATCCTGAATTCCATTTTTATACACACACATATGTGAAGAATATTCTTGAGACTGATTCTTCTCTTATTTTTTTATGTCAGTTTTCCCTTTTCTGGTCCTTGGAGATATTACATGTCAACATTTTTTGGGATAGGTGGCAAAAGCCTTTAGATTTCAAATTCTAAAGTATGAGGCAGGGGCTTAATTTATTATTTTTATTTTATTATAAACAAATGATAATCAAGAGCAGTGTTTTCATAGTAACAGCAATACTCAGTAGGCAAATGATCAGTTATGCCCATATACACTATTATAAAGCTTTACAAATTTTGGTATAAACTTTGGTGCCTGTTATGCTTAGTGGAAAATGAGATTCAAGATCCAAATAAAAGCCATACTTTCTCATTATATGAGTAGTTGCTTATTAGGATTGGAGGTTTTACTGACCTTCTGTGGAATCTGGGAAAGGGCTGAAGCAATGATATTAGCTTTTTCTTCTGGAACATTTTGTAACACTGACCCCAGAGAAAACACCACAATACCATCTTCCCCTGAACTCTGGACAAATTCTTCCATTTCCTGTAGACAAAAATGTCTCTGCATTACAGTGGTGTAATATTACAAGGATTAAAATAAAAGTTATGCGTCTAAAATAAGGAGAAATTATTAATGTATAGTTACATGGCAGAAAAAGAGAATCTTTTACACACTATTGAAGGGAATACAAATTAGTATAACCAGTAAGAAAAACAATATGGCGGTTCCTCAAAAAATTGAAAATAAAACTGCTATATGATACAATAATTTCATTGCTGGCTATGTATTTAAAATGAACTAAAATGTCGTAGAGATATCTGTCCTGTGTTTACATCATCATTATTCATACAGTCAAGAGATGAATCAACCTAAACATCCATTAATTAAGAAATACATAAAGAAAATATAAAAAAATACATATACAAGTCTATTCCATTGGATAAATATACACACACATTTGAATATATATATAGTGTATATATATATGGTGTGTGTGTGTGTATATATATATATATATATATATATATATATATATATTCAATGGAATGGATATATATAGCTATATATATATATATATATATATATATATAGCTATATATATCCATTCCATTATATATATATGTAATCTTTATTTCTGTAATATATTAGCTTTTTTATAAATAGCATTCTCCATTGAATATATATATATATATATATGTGTGTGTGTGTATGTATATATATATATTTTTTTCTCCAGTGTGTCTATATGTATCAATTTCATTGGATATATATTGAAAAAAGAAGAATGAAATCTTGTCATTTGTAGCAACATGAATGAACCTGCAGGACATAATGTTAAGTGAAATAATCCAGGCACTGAAAGACAAATAATACATGACATCCCTTATATCTGGAATGGTATCCCTTATAGGTGGAATCAAAAAATTTAATCATAATAAGTAGAGAGTAGAATTGTTACTAGAGGATGAAGAGGTAGTAGGCAGGGCAAGGAGAAATGGTGGATCAGTATATACAAAGTTGTAATTAAGAAGAGTAAGTTCTGTTATTATATTTTTGTAGTTGGGTAAGTATAGCTAATAGCAATGTATTACATATTTTAAACAGTTAGAAAGGAGGTTTTTTAATGTTACCACCACAAAGATATGATAAATATTTAAGGTGATGAGTTCATTACCTATTTTGATGTAATTATTGTACAATGTATAAATGTGTTGCAGCACATCATACCTCTTAAACATGTGCAATTATTACATGTCAACTTTTTAAATTATAAAAATAAATATTTAGTGTAAGACAGCCCTAAAATCTGTCTCAATTAAACTTTTAAAATTATAAGCACAAAAGCTTTTATTTAATATTACTGCTTGGATCTAACTTTTTAAAAGATATTACTTCTGTAATTATTTTCACGTGTGTGTGTGTTTGTGTGTGTGTGTGTAAAAGTGGCAATGTGAGAATAAAGAGTAGTTTGGCATGGGAGATTATCTAGAGAATGATGTAAATTTTAAGTTCTCCTTCTGTATCTCTATTTTAGATAAAAATAGCATAGCTTAAGAGGGCTTGATTTTCAGGTATAAGTTTCTTGGTAAGTAAAATAATATTCATAATTAATAAATAAAATTATATTAACCAATACACATCTTAGTATACAACCAATATTTTTTCTGGAAATCCTAATGGCTCTGAAACCTTCGTAAAAGGATTTTGATTATATTCCCATAAAACAAGAAATGAGGGTTTTTCCTTTCGCTCTGTAGTGATAGGTAAATCCAGTGTTGTTACCATAGCTATTGTAATAAATTCTTACAATTTTATGTTATCTGGCTATTCATTTAAAACATAAGTTGAACTTTTCCATACCAGAAGCAGGTCTTAGTCAACATTAACACTGTTTAAAATCTTCCACCTTCTTCAATTTCCTCAGTGTGTTCGGTCAGTATCTTTACTTACTGCCTCCTGATAACCATCCTATAGGACAACTACATACAGCCCACTTTGTTTGCATCACTGACACTCCATACACCAAAAGGACTGGGCAGATATGCCAAAGTGACTACCTCTCAGTCTCGGAATGACTTCATGGAACTTGTGCCTGCTTGCATTAAACCTACCAATTACGGTTCCCCACTGGAAACCCACCTAGGTAACACCCTGGACCCCAGTTAACATTTTGGCACACAGATCTGTTACTCTCTTTCTTGGTCCCCATTCATTGGTTGAATGCACTTTTCCCAAACAGGTTTCTTCTTCCCAATGGCTTTACTCTTTTCTCTAGAAATGGTGAAAGTACACTGCTTCTGTTGTTTTATGTATTTGGTTAAGTTGTCTCCTCTGTTTCTCACTTGACCAACACAAACATAACTTCTCTCCTGGTTAGGGTTTCCCATAGAGTGGTTATGTTTGTAGAAATTAAGAAGACATAGGTCATACAAGGGACACAGTGGTGTCTTTCAGTGTAAACACGTTTCTTATAAGAGACAATCTTGGTATCGATTGCACACTTAGGCATTAGACTGTTCATCAGAATAAAAGGTATCCAACATGAGGCAGATCATGAACATCCACAACTAAATACTCTAGAACCTTGTCAGGTCAAGGCTAGAGCTAAGAGCCACTTTTGGGACAGAGAACTCAAGACATACTTACAAAACTAATAATAATAATAAAAAAAAACTGTAACAGCTATTATTTGCTTTTGCTTCTCAATACTATTTCCTTCAACATTCCTTGAAGTATAAATTAATTTCCTCTGATGATTTAGGAATATGGTATACAATTTTATTTTCATTCCAAAAGAAACATGTGATAAGGCTGAAAAATTATTTCTATGAGCTCTACTTTGTGCTAATGACTATCATTAGATTTCTGTCTACAGAGAAAAAAGCCTTGTTTTTCTCAAGTGATTTTTTAATATTTTAAAAATTCTCACTAGCTCTAAGTAGATAGTCACAGCCCAGAATTCATCATATGACTTACAAACAAGACTACTTCTAAGTATTTATTTGAGTAGAAGCCATCACTATCATTAAACACTTAAACTTTCAATTAATAGAAATTTTCCTTTATTTTTTGTCTTCCTTCATCACTTATTTTCTCTCACTCACCAATTCCTGTGGAATATATTCAACATGTCTCATGAAAATACACTTATTTCTGTACTATCATGATAAATGCTCTCAATCATGAGCTCAGTTTGATTGTGAGAAAGGCTAGAGCATTCTTTTTAGTGATCTTCATGGCTCCAATTTTCTATTAATTCAACTTATTATCCAAACTATTGTAATACTGGTATTTTAAAATCTACTCTAATCATGTCATTCTTCTGCCTAATTTCTCAATATAATGCCAAAAAGACATGTATCATCTATGAGAGCCCCTGTGACATGGAAAGTAAATAGAGAGTTGCAAACAGAAGACATTCAACATCATCTTTCTATAACTAAGTCTGTTTAATTTTTAAAGAGAAAACTGAAATCATGTTTTTAAGTACATACTATTTCTTAATACAATAGTCTTACCTTAGGCAAAGGTTTTGCAGGTTTGCAGTGCAATCCTCCAACAAACTCAAAATTAGGTTGGTATGGTTGAGGAAACTCAAAATCCCAATTTGTTCGTATTAGCCATATGTCAGCTTTTCCCACAGTCTCGCATAATGTAGTGGGCCTTCCTAAATAAAAGAAATGAGAGTTAGAATGAATTAGCATACAATTTAAATAAAAAATTGTACCACTAATTTTTCAATAAACTATTAAGAAGATAATAATTTTAGTCCCTCTAGAGCAATATGGCTTTTAGATGTTAAGTGGAAGGGGACATTAATGAAATAATAAAGAAGAAAAGAAGAAAAAAGAAGGAAGGATAAAAGGAAGAAAAGGAGGAAGGGCAGAGGAAGGAGGAAAGGAAGAAAGGAAGGACATTACATTTAAGTGTATTTTCACAATTTAAAAAAAGACACAACTCCAAACTACAAAAAAATTTATTATTTTTCTTTTTGCCTCTCCAGGTGAATTTCAGATGATAGATTATTCCCACAGTGTCTTCACCAAATCACATCTCTGTGTTTTTTAATCTACAGTCAGGAATATATCTTTCAATAATCCCACCAGGATCAGTCCACTTTAAATTGCTGTATTGCATATCATTACTTCAATTGATAGGCTACTGTTTTATTAGTAGGAATTCCTTGACTGATTTTTACCCATGACAGTCCTCTGGATTGTGAAGCACGCATGTACATGTTATGACTATCATACACTTACCTTAGTGTTTCACTCAAATGATGTGTTTTGAAGGAAAACATATTTTCAAGTTTTAATTTTAGGTTTTTAATCAGAAGGGTGACTAATTGCAAATAACAAAATACTTAGTATATGTTTACAAAAACATATTTTGCAACCGATAACAAGATAAAACCCCTTAAAATAATTTGTTTCTCTTTAAAATTCTAATCAAAGTTGATGGTGTTATATACCATAGTATGGAGAGCCTCTGTTTAAGGTCATCACATATTAATGTTTGAGGTTATTTCCTAGATCATAAATCCAAATGCCTTTAATTTGATAGTGAATAAATTTTACCAAACATACTCAGTTTGAAATTATCAGACATTAGAATAGAGCTATCTCTCAGCTTTCAAGCAAATGCGTTTATGTCCTTTAGATTTGTTGTTTTCTGTGCCTCACATGCTGCCTGCATTACCAACCTATAGGTGATTTTCATTAACATGATATTAGATCTCATTTAAGAAAGACTCAGTTTTAAGCAATTGGAGTCAGTTTATATTTAAAGGATTAATTCACAGTAACGTGTATAAAGATAATCAAAGGAAAGAAAATTAAATTTACTTTTTATACTAAAGTAGTTAAATAATTTCACATCTTATTTGAAATGCCATACACACATATCTTAGAGATATTGTAGGTTAGGTTGCAGTTCATCTCAATAAAAGGAATATGCCAATAAAGTGATTCACACAAATTTGGGTCTGAGGGCATACTTTTATGTTTATCATGTCTGAAAACAAGTACATACCTTAATTAAAAGTATGGCTAAAAAGTGCTAATAATCAGCTGAGCTTCAGCAAGTAGTTTTTTTTTTTTTTTTTTTTTTTTTTTTCTGGTTTAGTGTCTTGCCTCAATATTGATTACTGTTGATAGATCATGGTGGTTTTTGCTTAAGGTCGGGGTTGCTGGGTAATTTTTTAAATTAGAAGACAGTGAAGATTGTTTCATAAATTGACTTATCCTTTCCTGAAAGATTTCTCTGTAGCCTGTGATGATGTTTCATAGCAGTGTACCCACAGTAGAATTTCTTTCAAAATTTGAGTCAATACTCTCAAATCCTGATGCTACCTTTTCAACTACGTTTGTGTAATATTCTAAGTCATTTGTAGATATTTTAACAATGTTCAAGTATGTTCACTGGGAGAAGATTCCATCTCAAGAAACCAATTTATTTGTTCATCTATAAAAAGCACCTGTTAAAAAGCACTTCCTCAACTGTTTTAGTTTTATCATGATATTATACCAATTTTTCTGTGATCACCCCATCTACAGTTAATTCCTCAAATGATGTCTTGAATCCCTGAAAATCATCAAGGAGAGTTGGAATCAACTTCTTCCAAACTCTTGTTAATGTTAATATGTTGACTTCCTCTCATGAATTATGAATAATCTTAATGTAATGTAGAATGGTAAATCCTTTTGAGAAGATTTTCAATATACTTTCCCCATCAGTGAGAGCTATAGCCTTATAAAATATATTTCTAGTGTAAAGCTTGAAAGTCAAGGTTATACGTTGATCCATAGGATGTAAAATGGGGATAATGATAGCAAGCATGTAAGCAACATTAATATCTGCACATCTCAATCAGAGCTCTTGGGTCACTAGGTGAATTGTCAATAAGCAGCAATATTTTTAAATGAATCTTCTTTTTTTGAGCAATATGTCTCAGCTGTGTGCTTAAAATATTCTATAAGCCATGTTGTATATAGATGTGATATCATCCAGGCTTTGTTCTTCCATTGATAGAACACAGGCAAAGTAGATTTGAGGTAATTATTGGGAGTCCTCTATAATTATGATAATAGTAAATGAGCATTGGCTTTAACTTTGTCATCAGCTGCATTAGCCACTGCAAGAGATTCAGCCTGTATTTTGCAGTTTTGAAGCCAAGTGTTGACTTCTCTCTGTGAAGTCTTAAATCGCATCTTATTCCAACAGAAGGCTGTTTTGTCTACATTGAAATCCTTTTGTTCAGTGTAGCTACCTTTACTGATTATATTAGCTAGGTCTTCTTTATAATTTTCTACTGCTTCACATTGAACTTTTACATCGTGGAGGCAGCTTCTTTCTCTAAACCTCATTAATCAACCCCTGCTGGCGTCAGTCTATTTTTCTGCATCTTCCATTCCTCTCTGAGGCTTCATATAATTGAATGGTTAGGACTTTGATATGTATTAGTTTTTAGCTAAAGCCAAAACTTAAGGCAATGTTGTGGCTGGTTTAATTTTTTTTCTTTCTCCTCCTCCTCCTCCTCCTCCTCCTCCTCCTCCTCCTCCTCCTCCTCCTCCTCCTCCTCCTCCTCCTCCTCCTCCTCCTTTTTAGTAGAGGTCTTGCTTTATCACCTGGGTGGAGTGCAGTGAAACAATTATAGCTCACTGCAGCCTTGAACTTCAAACTTTTGGGCTCAGGCCATTCTTCCACCTGAGCCTCCCAAGTCACTGGGATTATAGATATGAATCACTGCAGCCTGCTAGCTAATTTGATTTTCTATCTAGACAACTACAATTTTCTCTATATCAGCACTGATAATGTTTATTTGTTCTTATCATTTGTATGTAGCACTTTTAGTTTCTTCCAAAACCTTTCCTTTGCATTCACAACTTGTTTAATTGTTTGGCACAATAGATGTAGTTTTTGGCTTATCCCACTCTTTGTTGTTATCAAGGAATAACTGAGGCTGTTTAATTTATAAAAGAAAAAGGTTTATTTGGCTCACAATTCTTCAGGGTATAAAAGAAGCCTGGCACCAATATCTGTGTCTGGTGAAGACCTCTGGTTCCCTCCACTCATTGTAGAAGATGTTGGAAACCAGCAAGTGCAGGGATCAGATAATAAGAGATTAAGCAAGAGGAAGAGGGTGGATGTTCCTAGCTTTATTAATAATTATCTCTCCTGGGATCTAACGGAGTGAGAACTCACTTGCCCTTTTCACCAGGGAGAGCACTAAAGTATTCATGACCCTAACACCTCCTATCAAGCCCCACCTCAAATATTGGTGATCAAATTTCAACATAGGATTTTGTAGGGACAGGCAAACCATATTTAAACTATAATACTCATTAAACGTATTCGTTTCAACATTTCGATTTAAATTGAGGGACCTGCTACTCTTCTTTTCACTGGAACATGTAGAGGTCATTTGTATGTTATATTACTGTGTCTCAGGCTATAGAAAGGCCTGAGAAGAAGTGGGATGGGGAGACAAATCAGTGGAGCAGTTAGTACATGCACAACATTTATAATTTAGTTTGCTGTCTTATATGTTAACAGATCAAAGTGCCCTAAAACTAGTACAAATGTAACCATCAAAGATCACTGATCCCAGATCACCATAAGAGAGATAATAATAAAAACTTTGAAAAAGTATTATAAATGCCAATATATGATATAGAGTCAAAAAGTATGCACTTACTGTTGGAAATATTATGCCAAATTGATTTGCTTGATTCAGGGTTTTCACAAACATTTGATTTGTAAACTACAATTTTTGTGAAGGACAATAAAGCAAAGTATAATAAAATGAAACATGTCTGTTCATAAAAACTTACGGAGATTAAACAGTGAATTAAAATTTACTGGTATTCCTTTTCCTATAGTTGTTTTGATATGTACAATTGATTTATATACACAATTGATAATTCTATAAAATGTGTAATAATCAATAATTTAGTAAGTTGAAGCTACAGAATAAATCTAGTTATTGAATAAATTTCTTATTTCAAGCTACTCAATGATCGAGTGAAATTATTTTTTTAAAGAATTGTTGAGGGCTTTCTGAATGCATGGCCAGAACATATTTTTGTTTATAGGAAAATGTTCTTTCACCTCTTTATTCACTTTTGATAATATTTCTGTCTTATTTTAAATTTCAATCTTATCAAGGGGCTTTAATTAGAGTCCTAGTATACCAAACTTTGGCAGTGACTTTCATCTCTGCATGTAGATGAGGCCAAGATGTTTGTATTATTTACCTATATCCATAAAGCCTAGTAGGCTATCTGCAGTTAGGCAGAGCTTTCTGATTACTAAATTAATTAAAGAGAATCAGTGCATGTAAATTCAAATCATGTCTAGAGCTACAGATATTTGAAGTGAGATCCTCTGAACATTAGTTCTGTGAAACAGTTTATGTATTAGAATTCAGTGGAATACATTAAAAAATATTTTATTGTCTAATATAACTGTTTCTTTGTTCATGTTTCTATGTATTTCTCAAACATATTTGGATTAAAAATACGTCTTGCATTGACCACCTCAGATCACAACTTTGTATGAAAATTACAAAGCTAAACAACTTTTTATCAGTAAAGCAAATAAAAAAAATAAGTCAAATGGATGTGTATCAGTAAAGTAAAACTTCTACTATATTATGCCTTGTAAGACCTTAAGTGTTTTTAACTTTTTATATTTTTTTAAGTTTCTGTGAAGTAATCATTTAAGAAATTAAAGAATTCTAGGAAGTATTTCAATTTAACCACTCAAAATAATAATTCAAAGAGAACTTTCTGAAGATTTTTTTTTTAATTTACGATGAGGGAGAAAAGAATGATTTGCATCTTATTTCAATAGAAATGGTAAAAAATTAAGAGTAACAATCAATGATTCTCAAAAATATGTGATGTAGATTTGGGCTATTTGGAGGAAATACAAAATATTATCTCTTTGTTAATAATGATTATTTTTAAGCTTATTACTGGTATTAAGAAAGTAGTTTGTCTTACTCTTATAACAAATATACTTTCTTTATGAAGAACAGCTATATTTTCTAAAATAACTCATTATACTGCATATATGTGTCATAGACTGTGTATGACAATTTTAAAAAATATATCTTTTGATAACTAAATTAAAAATAAAACAAGAGTCTCTTACCTAATACCTTACTATAAAACTCTTCCCAAAAATGATGGTCATAATCCTGAATGCAGAAGTTGAAGAGAACTGAAAGCATTGAATTTTGTACTCTTTCCAGAAAGGTCATTTTGTCTGTTAGTCCTGTCATAGGTACAGGTACATAGGAAAGTGGTGCTGGAAGTTTCCCACAGCTTCGCTCCATATTGCCTCCTACAGAAACTCTAAGTGTGAGCACAAAAGGAACTGCAAGCAACTCAGCCATCAGGTCTCCACATGGAATCACAGGGTCTATAAGCATTACGTCATAGTTGGTTTTCTGTAGCTTCTCCATAAGTGTCTGATTGTAGATAAAGCTCTCACACGTCATTTTGAAAGTTTCTCTTATTTCAACAAAAAAATTATTTAATTTTATAACTGATTGCCAGGGTGGTAAGCCTGGCAAGACATTCAGAACTAGGTCCACAAATTTTTCTTGATCATCTGTTTTGTCCTGAGGCATATGGACCACCTCAAATTTCAGTGCAGAAGGCTTCCTATAATCAATTAAGTAAGTCTTTGTGTGAGTCAATACGGTTACCTCGTGGCCCCTCGCTATGAGCTCCTCCAGAATGACTTTGATATTAAGCCAATGGCTCATGTCACAGGGCCATACCAGGACCTTCCCACAGAATCCATAGCCAGCAAAGAAGAGCTGCAGGAGCAGAAATACCAAAGCTGACTTCTCAGACCTCATAATGGCAGCTTTCTCACACACTGGTTGGCAATGGTTTTGTAGTTACTAAGCATAGAGTTGAAATGGCAATATAAGCACAGAAGTTAAAATTTAATCTTTTAAGGGTAAAGTTCACTGATTGTTTGCCAGTTTAACATTTATTGAAGGTATCAAAAAGAAATACAAGGTATCAGGGAAAAGTTGTTCTGACCTTCTAGAACTTAGAGATAAAATACATAAACATATTTTTATTATTTGGATTGATTTTTTTTTAAAGTTAAAGTCTTTAGATTTAATAATGTATGGGCAGAAACATATGCACACAATCACACTTACATTCATTCCACACTAAGTCCAAGGTGTCATATGGTTTAGGAGAACAGATGTTCCACCTCCCTTTCTCACAAAGACAATACAATAATTTACAGAGAATACACTTGGAGACTTTGGGTAACTATTTTGATGAATTTTATATAATAAGTACATAGTGTTTAGTATTTTGGAGAGGGAAAAAAGCACAGTTGCTTCCATATGGGATAATTAATAAAACCTGTGGTAAGGCAATTGACTTAGGATGTGAGATAAAAGCTTTGGTAGAATTTATTGTTGCCAAAGGAGAAATTTCACCATTAATAAAAGCATGACAAAAGTAGAGAATATTTGAAAATCATTCCAGTGGGTTGTGATCACAGAGAAAGTTGAGGGCAGGATGTTACAAAAGAAAGTTTGTTTGAAATAGAACTTAATTTTAAATAAAGACTTATGGGTTTGAATGATAATTCATAGGCAAATAATTATTTACTCAAGTTTTAAAGGACAGTCACAAGATCAAGATCTTCTTTTAGCAAGAAATTCTTGCATCTCTACATAGAGTGGTATGTAAAGGTAAGAGTTTAAAAACAGAAAATGATACAAATTGTATATTGGTTGCTGAGATGTGTCAACCTCATGTTAACGGAATAAAACATAAATTGTTAAAAGTAAATGTGAGAAATCAATTTGAAATTTGTATTTACTGATAATATCTGATAAAGGAAAAAATGTACAGGAGAAAAGACATGGTTGTGGTTTCTGTCTTAAGAAGCAGAAGGCTGATAATGACATTAGATAAAATATGCACAAAATTTACAGCAGCTTTCAGAATCAATATGACCTAACTGGGATATTTTTTTTGTAGTTACTGTTCTAATTATTAAACAACTCTATGTAGTATTGTTAAACACACACTCTGAATGAAGAGACACCCTAAACTTTGTGTGAATAACATGGCTGTTTATTCATCCAGGTGTTGGTGGGTTGAGTCTGAAAAGAGAGTCAGCAGAGGATAGTGATCCCACTGCCTACCCTAAACCAGTTAGTTTTATAGGTTCGAGGTAGGCAGTGGAAAGTTACAGAAGTTTACAGTTCAGGGTGGTTTTTGCAAGCTGGTAGGGGGTCAAAAGGACTGGAGTCATGAGGTTGGCCTATCAGTTGAGTAAGGTCAGTTACACAGTACAGTTGCCTTATCAGTTGAGGTGGGAATAAGGAACAATATAAGAATGTCTCAGAGTTAATTAGGCTCTGCAGGGGTTGGTCATTCTTCTCCTTTTTGTGTGTGGGGATTTTTTTTTTTCCAGTTACTTCAGACTTTCTAGTTCCAGGAACTCATCTGGAGTGTACATGCAGGCCACAGAGGTCATCATGACACAGTCCATGGTGCATTCGGTAAGTCTAAAAGACCTTATATTCATGTCTTTTTACGTTAGTAATATAAAGGAAAAAGAAATGAAGAGTAAAGGGTAGTGGAATATTAGGAAGGCAGGCACAGAGGGGTGATGGAGTGATGTTTCTCAGGGCTTCTTCAAGTGGAATTGTGGGTGGCATGGAAAACAAAAAATGGGAAAAATTTAGACTTCTGGGAGATGTCAGGGTAAGGTGTGACATTGTGGGGTTGTTAGAGGGAGCATTTATTGTATTGACTGATTGGCTATCACTTGTGTATGATTTTGTAGGAATTGAGAGATTAATTGGAAAACACAGGTCCAAATAATAGAAGGAGAAAGATAGGTATCTGGACTAAGGATTGAAAGAAGCCATGACATACAGTTAGACAGTGTCCAGCCAGTCCAGTGAGGTCCAGAATAACAATTTGCCTGATTAGCTAGCTTTTAGGCTCTGTCTTTCAATCTATTGATGGGATCATATGTGAGGCCAGACCAGTTTACATAAAAACAACATTCTTCCTTTAGGAATAGGCAAATATCTCCTTTTTCAGGAGTCAGTAAATCAAGACCTCTGTGGTTTTGGAGGACAACTACAGCCAGGGAATTTACTTGAACTTGAAGAAGGGATAATGATTGAATTAATTCTGCAATGCTATCAGAGAAATCATTAGAGAGGCTATGGAAGGTGATGATTGAAGTGGTAAGGCCTGCTATGACTGTGCTGAGTGCAGTAGTAATTCCTAACCCTACAAGTAAGGGTATCAATAAAATGACCTGCTTAGGTCATGTTGGGACCACAAGGGGGCTGGGAGGCTTTTGTCTCCATTGGCAAACTGAATTTTGGGAGTATGAAAAACTAGAGTACAGGTGCCTGTCCAGTTGGTAGGAAGGCAGATGTAAGAAGAAGAACCAAAGAAGAAAAAAAGTTATTGTCTTAGACAGAACTAGAAGTGTAAACTGAAATAGTGAGAAAGTGTTCTGAAGTGGATGGGGCTTTGGACCCAAATGCCAAGGGGACCAGCAAGGGCTGCAGCTGTTAAAGGTGGTAGTGGAGTTTGGTATGGTAACTGTGTGGAGACTTTTGTTTTCATGGTGTAGGAGGAAGCATGTGTTATCTATAAGTAACCACTCACTTTCATTAAAAAGATTGAGTAGGAGCAGACCAGAAGAGGGGTCTGGAAGAGAGGAAAATGGTGTGGGAGGAAGCATGTGGTATCTGTAAGTAACCACACACTCTCATGGAATAGGAGGAAGTGTGTGGTATCTACAAGTAATCACTAACTTTCATTAATGAGATTGGGTATGAGCAGACAGAAAGAGGGGTCTGGAAGAGGGGTCTGAGGAGCAAGGGGAAGGTAGCCAAGGATGGAGTGAGAGACAGGGTAAGTGCCCACCTAGGAAAAACTTGAAGTTTATTTGTCAATCTTGTTTAGGGGAAATTCTGCAGGCCTGATGTGTAGGAAAAGGAGGGGATCTGAGAAAGCCTCGAGGAGTAGTAGAATGACAGATAGAACATTGAAATGTGATTGCTTTGAGAATGGACTTCCATGACGGAAAAGAAATAAGGGTTTCTAAAAGATGAGCCAGAGGCTTGCATTCTACATGGAAATAGTTATGAAAGTATGAGCGGATAGAGTGAGCTTGTGACGCAGGGAGGAGGAACTTCCCATTGTATAAGACCCATTTGCCTCATGTAGGAATCGACTGGTAAAGCGAGTTTTTACAGGAAAAACAGGTAAGGGAGATAGATGAGAAGGAAAAATACTGGCCTTGTTGGAGAGATGCTGGGATGCCCATTGCTTCTTGCTGCTTCTTGGGCTGTTTTGTTGCCTAAGACATTTCCTTGGGCAAAAGAATCTGATGGTTTTTGCTATCCTCTGCAGTGGATAACTCTGGCCTTAGCTGGAAGAAAAGCAGCCTTAAGGAAGGCCTTTATTAAAGAGGCATTGATAATAGAGGACCCCTGTGTGGTGAGAAAACTTCTTTCTGCCCATAGGGCAGGATAGTGGTGTAGGATGTGTAAGGCATATTTGGAGTCAGTTTAGATATTAACATGTAGTCCTTTGGTAAGAGTAAGAGCACGTGTTAAGGCATTTTTTTTTTTTACCTTGCTGAGAAGTGGTGGTTGGGGGGAGTGTGACAGCCTCAATAATAGGTGAGTGGGATACAACAGCATAACCAGCTTTGGCTAGTGCCAACCAACTGGTCTTTGAAGAGCTGCAATCAGTAAGCCATGTATGATCTGGGTCTGGAATAGGAAAAAGAGAAATATGTGGAAATGGGGAGGATGCTATATGGATTAGGGAGACACAGTCTCCTGTGTCTATAGGAGATATACAGGTGATACACTCTCCTGTATCTACCTAATGGGGTTAAGGGTTTAGATATTAAGTGATAGGCTGGTTTGAAGTCATGTTCAAGAGCAATTATTACTGTGGGGGTTTCAATAAAGAGTATATAAAGCTGGAGAAGGTGAGGGGCTGAAAGTACGTGTGTGAGGTGTGAAGAGAAAACTAAACTTTGGAGATTATGAGAGCTATAGGGAGTAAGTGGAGCATAGCCTGTAATTTTTTTTTTTTTTTTTTTTTTGAGATGGAGTTTTGCTCTTGTTATCCAGGTTGGAGTGCAATGGTGCGATCTCGGCTCAACGTAACCTCTGCCTCCTGGGTTCAGGCAATTCTCCTGCCTCAGCCTCCTGAGTAGCTGGGATTACAGGCACGCACCACCATGCCCAGCTAATTTTTTGTATTTGTAGTAGAGACAGGGTTTCACCATGTTGACCAGGATGGTCTCTATCTCTTGATCTCGTGATCCACCCAACTCAGCCTCCCAAAGTGCTAGGATTACAGGCGTGAGCCACCACTCCCGGCCCAAGCCTGTAATTTTAAGAGATTCTGGGAGTATTATGAATCGCAGTGGCTGTGGCATGAAAACATGATGGCCAGCCTAGGACTGAGAGGTCAAGTTGTTTAGACAAGAAGGCAACTGGTCATGGGTCTGGCTCTTATGTGAGAACTTCAAGTATGCTGCCTTTTATTTCTACTGTCTCAAGGGAGTTGGGTTGGGAGGAGTAGGGTAGTGCTAGTATGGGGCTGTTTCTAAGACTTTCTTCAGAGAACAAAAGGTAGAATGGGGGAAAATTTGGGGTCTATGGGTTTAACTAAGTTTCCTTTTGTAAGCTTATAAAGTGGTTTGGTTAGGAGGGCAAAACCTGGTATCCAAGCATGTGGCTGTCCTTGAAAAGAAGACAGCGTGGAGTGGGTGGCCCTGTATTGATTAAAAAGGGGATGGACTATGAAGCAAAAGTATCTTACAATGCCTGGAAAGAAGATAATCTGTTGTTTAGTAAATGGGGTTGGGGTTTGGGAAATTAATTGGATACAG